GCAATGACCATCACATTAAAAAGGCAGAGGATTGAGTTAAAAATGAACAACTTAGAGAAGTACTTGCATGAAGCCACTCTTGGCTCCTTTCTGCCAAAGGCCGCTTTCTCCACCCAGTGTGTGCCTTTGCTACCTATTTGGTACCCAGAATAGGCGGCCCTCCATTTTCCTTCCCATTCGGATCATGCACGTATCATGTGAAAAAGAGTTTATGGAGTGAGTGGGGCATCCAGTAAACACAGATATCTACACAATACGAAATTTAGCTGATTATCAACATTGGCTTTAAGAAGGAACATTAAGGCCAAATGGGAAGCTAATTCTTAAATGGTCTTACCTCGCTCTGGAGAAGATGTAAGGAGGTGCCATTCCAAAGGGCCTTGGGCTTTCAGTCTAGAATTTCCGTTAGTCGGGGAACACCTCGCATTAGTCATGATTCAGAAAGCAAGGGCTTTGCCATCAGTCAGTCCTGGGTTTCGATCCAGGAGCCTCCACTTAAACTAGCTGTTCAGCAGCTGAAGTCCATCTTGTAGGTAAACTGGCCCCTGTCAATGTAACAAACGTTCCAACCTGTAGAGACTTTTTCCGTTTAACTGAGCCAAACTGATGACAGTTGCCAAGAAGCAAAATCTCAACGGACTGAGAAAATGCTCCAGAAAATGGTAGTTTTGCACCTTATTTTATACATTACAATCAAAGGGGAGGCATAAAGGGGTGACATGAAATTCACTGGTGATGGAGTAGGAAGGAGGGAGAAAGCAAAGCAGGGACAGCTCTGGGACTGGGTAAAAAGTAAAAAGGGTGGACACATATTTCTTTTACCTTGGTGGGCACAGGGTAGTTGACAGTTAACGTTTACAGCACATACAGATGGTATGCGGGTAACAAGATCCCAAAGGAAGGTTCTGTGGTCTTACCCTCTGGTGGGAGATTGTGCCCTGAGGGGTCTGGGAAAAGGGGGTTACTCAGACATTCCAAGGTGTGTTACCTTCAATGGAAAAAAGACAATAGACACACTCAGTGAAGGTAAAGACTGACCTTTATCAGGGAAGACACCGGCCTAGGACAGGACCACCCGCCACGACTGGCTTTTAGTTAGGAGGTTTTCATTTCAGACCATCCTACGTGGTTACTTTGGGTCTCCGAGTTTGTAGGGCCCCCCCATGCCCGCCTCCCCTGAGCTGGTCGGTTTTAGTATGTGGCCCCTTTACATCCACACCCCTTTAGTCCTGTTACACTTTGGCAAGATGGAGAGAAAAGGAGGTTTGTTTTATTTCTTTTTAAAGAGGCCTGAATTTTAAAAAGAAATAAATTCCACTCTCATTGTGTTTATTGCAGCCCAACAGCCGATTTGGAGTGCCACCTTAGAGGATACGTGACACACACTCCCCACATTGCTTAATTAATCTCTTGGCCCAGGGAACTAAAAGAAGTGGTTGGAATTTAGAACAGTTTCTGTTAATTACATCATTGAAATCCCTCACTATTTCGGAGACAATACCTTCTGCGAAACTCCTCTCTAGGCCTCAGTGAAGCTGAAACCGCAGAACCAGCTCAAAATGGTCCTATCCTGTTTCTAGCGAGATGCTGAGTTGCCTTTCAGAGACCACAGACCAAAACCGCCACTCATGCAACCAAAGCAAGCGCAGGGGAGGGAACTTTGACCTCCGGCTGCACTCAGAACCAAAAGTGCGCCTCCCCCTCCCCGGAACCAAACGACCAGGACGCGACCTGAACTTGAACTCTGGAGCCCTTTCAGAAGGAAAGGGTCCCTTGTGCAGGAAGGGCCGGGGCTGAAGCCCTCACCACATCTTACCAAGTTCCAGCCTTCAATCAAACCTACACCGCCAGCACCTCTGCCTGCCAGCCTGTGCCCCAGCCCCTAACCCTCAATCTCCTGATGCAGAGACCCTCAAGAACCCTTGATGCAGAGACATCGGGGAGTTCTCCTCGCTTGGTGCCCTGCAAATAAAACAGTTTTCGTTTCCACTGCAAACCTGATGTTCGGCATTTGGCTTTGCTGTGCATTGGGTGGGCAGACCCTCATTCTGGTCGGTTCCGTCCAGTAACAGAGTGAAAACAAGATCAGGCCTCATTCAAGCTGCTGAAGTCCACGCTTGCCAGTCCCCCCAGCCCACACCCCCCGTCCGCCCGGCTGGGCAGCAGGGTGGTAAATGCAGTGCCATGGCATCTGCTAGAGATGAGCGCTCTCCCTCACCGTGGCCAAAAGAATAGGGATTCTTTTACACTCGGCTTAAAAAAATCCGAATTCACATCCAGCCCTCCCTAATGTCCCAGTAAAATGGCTCACCATCTCCACAGCCTTCCCATATTTTCCAAAGCAAGTCACTCTTCTCCTGCCTTCATCCCAGGGGAAGCCCAAGTGTGAGCTGGAATGAGGCACGGAGAACGCCGAGTCCTCAACAGGTCTTCACTCTCATTTGTCTTAAGATGTAATTCAGAGTATCGCTTGGAGAACGTCTTGTTTTCTGGTTTTTAGCCTCCTCAGAGGCTTTTCATTTTCCGTGAGGCGCAGGGTTGGTAGAATCTTGGTCACCTCCATCATCCAGGCAGTAGAGGGGCTGTTTGCGACATCGAAGGCATGGACCTGGAAGGCCAGCATCTCCCAGGCAGCCCGAGAGTGCCTCTTACAGGGTGAGCCTTCTCTCACGTGGCTTTACTTGTAGTTCTGATTACTAATGACTTTGGTCACCTTTTAATATGTTTACTGGCCTTTCGTTTTTCCACTTTGTGAAATGCTTGCTCATGTCCTTGGCCAGTTTTTATATTAGGCTTATTGTTACTGACTGGTAGAAATTTTTTTAATTTACTTAATATATTTTATTGATTTCAGAGAGAGGAATGGAGAGGGAGAGAGAGAAACATCAAAGATGAGAGAGCCATTGATCGGCTGCCTCCTGCACGCCCCCTGCTGGGGATCGAGCCCATGACCCGGGCATGTGCGCTGACCAGGAACTGAACCGAGATCTCCCTGATCGTAAGTCGATGCTCAACCGCTGAGCCACGTCGGCCGGGCTAGAATTTTTTTTTTTGTACTTTGGACATAGATATGCTGATTACACATGTGCAAGGTACATTTTTACTAACTTCTTGACTTTTTTCACATACAAATCATGCCAAAGTCAGCCTCAAAGCTGCATGATTAAATCATGTGGTTAGTCTCCACTTTCTTCCCCTTCCTTACTCTCTTTCTTCTTTCCTTCTCTCCTGTCCTTTCTGTTTTCATCTCTAACTTAACTGCCTTCACCATCTCCTCTCCTCCTCTCCCCCCCGCCCCGCCTTGTTCTAAGGAGAGCCAAGGCCTAGACCGGCAAGTGCCTGCAGCCAGTGGATCTTTGGGGCTCACCCACTGAGCGTGCTTGCTTCTGCCTGAGCTCTGGGCTTTACGCTGGGAGGGAAGGCAGGCCACGGTCACATTTCAGGAAAGTCCCCCCGTCACGCTGCGGGACAGGGCTGGATTTTGCGAGCAGTCTCTTGGGGGTGCAGGGAGTTTAGTTGTACTTCTCCACGGCCCTGCGTTAACCCCTTTGGAGGATCCACCGTGAAAGGGATCTGCTCTGTCTTCTGTCCCCCACGGCCCCCGAGGCTACTAAAATAGAGCTCCAGGATGGGGCGGCACCTGCCCTCGGGGCGGAGAGGGGCTTCGGGACTCTGCTTGCTTCTCCGCTCTCCTGCTCTCCCCCGTATTTGGGCTGTTTATTCCATGCTGTTTTACAAACATCTTGATGCCTTTAGAAATGTGTTTGTTATATTTAAAATAACTATAAATTACTTCACTGGGGTCATTTGAATTGATGTATTTTAGATCACTCAGTATGAATATGGGTGACAAATCCTTGGACCACTAACTACGGGGCACGAACTGCTGATTCAGATTGGCTTTATCCTACTATCCCAAAGCCGGCGTGTGGCAACAGGGCATTTTCCTTGCAGGAAGGAATATTTCCTCCCACTCTCCTTTCACTGTCATGGGGTCCTTCAGGTTCCCATCTTTATGCAGGAGTCTCCGTGGCTTTTGTCTCCTCAGCCCATGTAGCTATAAACACCCGAACTCTTGGGGACAGGGCTTAGTAGATGTCATTTGAACAACGTTTCGGCTTCAGGATCATTTACTAGCCTGTTGGGCTTTTGCCTGGTTTTTAAGTTTTTTGTGGTGTGTGTGTGTGTATGTGTGTTTATTTACCTGTTTGGCTTCTTGAGAATATCTATTACTTCCTTGCCATTTCAGCAACACATTAT